GAGAAGGAAATACAAAGAGCTCCAGAAAACAGACTGAAAAGGGGTCATCAACAAAGAGAAGCGAATCACAAAGGATCCACGAAAGAGGAGGAGGTAAGTCGTGTCTTATCTGGGTTTTCTCTTACGCTAAGGTCCAGAAAGATTCAAACCTTTTTTCCCAATCTTCGTTTGATACTAGCTTTAGTTCATAATTCCAATCAAGTTTCGGTAAAACAATGACTTTTGCATTCATCGCCTTAAACCCCTCGCGCTCGTTCATGGCTCGAATAACATTTCAAAGTGTTCGTTCAAATTATTTCTTGTCCTACCTTTTGGAATCTTTAATACAGTCGTGTTGTTTAGGGGAAAGAAGTTATCTTACGGATTATGTTTTGCCTAGAAAGTTTTAAAATGATAGCGAACGGTGGGAGCAAGTTTTTATCATTCTCTTTTCAGTTGCAAGGTTTACATTATTCATCTAAAAAAAATTGCGCTTTGTCGAATGTTTGTTGTTTTACCCTAAGAACGAAGTAATAGCGTTTCCCAAAATTGAATTACAATGAGATTGAGTCAGCGACGTTCATATTTACATTAAGTCTGACGCGGTAATTTGATTTTGAAAACATTGTCATGTGAGAACCCGTCAAACATCTGAGAATTAAATTACCGAGCGCAAATGTGAGGAGCAAACAAACTCACGGGTAAACTGGTGTTGATCCTGCAGCGGGAGGAGTGAATTTCATTATTTGGCCGTGGTACTTTTCAGTGCTATATTTTCATGTTTTCTACTCGATTCGTTCGAACTTGAAGAAATGGTTTGTCTCACAAAACATGGAAACACTTTCTCTTCGTTCAACATCTTGAGGCGTCTATAATATATTTATTTGTAATTAATTGAAGTTAATAAGTTATTTATTTATTTTAATTTTTGTATTAGTTATTGTACTTGAAAGCCTCTTCGGGAAAAGTCGATGAAGGATGTATGTATGCGAGTATGTATGTATGTATATTCGATTTACACGCGCCTTCCTGTAAAATTCACTCATCACATATTATTTTTTAGCCTTAATCACGCGTTACGTAATGATCCATGCATTACTGCGAATGATTTAGCCAACTTCTCAGCCATCGCGGGAATGTCGGAGACGTGAAGAGCGGGTGTTTGCCGTTGTGGTGAAAACGTGAGTGTTAGTTTTCTGTCTTGGTCATTTTTGTGACCTCTAAAAAATGCTATTTTTTGAAATGTTACTTTTGATTTTATTGTTAATATACAGGTGACTTTTTAGCTCGATTTACCTGTTCTTTTTTGCCTTAAATTCGTCCTAATTTGTGATTTACTCTTCTTTCTAGCCAAACGCATATTATGGCCAACTCAACAAGCACAAAATCGCAAGTGAGATTAAAAACTGAATCTGTCTGTAGATTTGTAAAAAAATATTCAGCCAGGGTGTACTTTGAACTCATTTCTTTGACCATTTCTTTTTATTTTCGGCGAGAAAACAGTAATTTACAGCGAATTGCGATAGTTCACTTATCTACTAATACTGAAAGGTTTAGCTATAAATATAAACATATAAACACGTTAACAACTGCTTGGTCTCGCTAATTTCATGAGAATGTTATTTTAATGCAATTCAGTGTAAGGTTCATTTTTAAAAACCTTTGGAAAGCGAGTTATAATTTGTTGAGAAATCTTGCCACTCCAATAAACTTAACTTTTCTTCTTCTTCAAGACTCCATGAATGGATTGATCATTTATATATCGAACTTTCTAGCTTTCGTTAGTCAGATTTCGAAATTCAGTATTCATACATGCGTAATAAATAGTGAATTTATATGTCAAATTAAGAATTAAGAAGTCGATATTACTGCATATGTTGGAACTTTCTCCATTCAAAAGTTTGAAAGATTTTTCAATCTAACGAAATTCTGAGATGCTGTAGTTTCTAAAATTCATTGCTAATTACGCATGCAGGAATGCTGAATTTTAATTCTTACAACACAAAAATATGCAAATGATCTAGTCATAAATGGTTCCTATGGGTTTATTCTTGTCCTGGTTCAACTGAAAAATAGCTTTTCATGTCTGGTATTGGAACTTTTATAATTATTGTTGTAAAGTAAAATTTGTATGTTTCATGGACAACCAAACAAGTGCACCAGAATTTTAAATTAGCCTTTTTTTGTTCTCTGTTGCATGTGCAGCCATCAATCACAAATAAACAAAACAAACAATCTCTTTTTGTCTTAATGTTACCTAGAACAGTGATGGAATGGACAAAGCAGCATGACAGGCTCTTCTGGATGAAATGACAATGAGCGATCTTTTTCAGTACAAGAAGGGCACTCCAGAGAGGGGTCAAGTATGGGATTCTATTAATTAATTTAAGTAATTTAAATGCAATGGATTACCCAAAGTTTAAAGTTGCAAAACGGCCATGTCGCGATCGTTGGACACTATTACGCACCAAGTATAAAAGAAGGATGTCAGAAGAAATCCAAGCAACTGGAATGGATGCTGAGGTTGGAGAACTTGACAAGATCATTGAAGACCTTATTGGAAAAGATGCTGCTATTGACAGTGATAAAGATGGAAAGAAGAAAGCTGAAGCTGATA